AATAGAGTCCGTGCGCAAGTTGACAAGTTTCGGACATAAGTTCGACATTTGTTCGACATAACCAACTAAGTTTCGAACGACATAAGTTTCGAACATAACATTTGTTCGACATAAGTTTCGGACGACAATATTTGTTCGACATAAGTTTGACATAACCAACTAAGTCCTAGGAGCATAAGGATCCCTCGGACACCTCTGTCTCTTCGGATTTGTAGGCAACACATTGGGAGTGTAGCCAACGTCGGTGTGGTCGCGTTGCCGGTGCGTACGGCTCGTACTTTGCAAGTATATAATATACACGATTACTTATAATCTTTATGATCGTTAGTTCATGGAGCCTACGTGTTTAAAGAAACTATCTTTGTTACTACTTGTGAGGCTCCTTGGGTACCAAGCGGAGCACCACCAAGCTGAGACATGTCGATCTCATCCTGCGGCCAATCGTCCCACTGGTGGTGCTGTCTACGGAAGCCCGAGGGGTCGTCGTCGTCGTCCTCGGTTGCGGGGTCCTTCCCAGCGCTATGATGTGGTGGTGTACGCACTGCGGAAGTGGCACCTATCACCGGCTGAGAAGAGCCGGCTGGTGTCCTCAAAGAGACAGAAGACGTGCCACCTGACCACTCGGGGACTGCCGGTTCCACCCAAGGAGTGTCCATGCAGCTCAGCTTCTGTGCTAGCTTCCTGCAGCTCCGCTTCATCTTCTACATAAATAGACGTTAAAGTTAGTGCATTTCTCAAACGCATATACACTAAAGAAACATTTTCGGAACAGAAAAGTTTATGTTTACCTTCACAAAAGCCTCGAGAACGCCTGACCCCAGCCCTCTAGACTCGTGAAGCCGAAACGCTGCTTCGTTGAATAGCCTTGACAATTATGTCGCCTGGGTACAGAAACGCGGTTGGACAGTTTTAGTACACATACTTAATACCAAATGGATAACAAATTGTATCATTCGAGTATCTTACCACGTATCTTTGAAGTGGGGCTATCTGTAGTTGTATGTCGTCCCTAGTGGCAACGTCGTACACATCTTCGATCACATCTCCCTCATCGTCCTCGTCAATCGCCTCCTCAATGTACGGGGGCTTGATATGTGTCCTCGTAGACCTGTGAAGTCACCGCAGGTACTCATCGAAGGTGTGCTGGTCGTGTGGGGGACCCGCATTGACCGGCTGCCGGTCCCTATTCTGCCACAACTGGATGTACGCGTTGTGTGTCACGCGCCAATCCTTAGTCTTGTACCTCTTCCTGCGGTCATACCTACAACAAAATGATTGTTAGTTGTACCATACACACATCTAAATTGTAGCTTTGTTATTAATCGATAACGCACCCGTGCAATTCTTGGTTGGTGGAGTAAAGCGATGGTGGGTAGCCTGTCATTCTTCTAAACTGTCTGCAAACCCTGATGGGCAAGTGAATCTCGACCACGTGGAAGAAAATAAGAGGGATGTTACAGCGATACTCATCTGACTCATCCCTAGGGACAGGACTCAGATAGTACTCGAGCTTCGGAGTATCCCAAGGACATCAATGCACCTGAACATTTCGTAATTGAGTTAGGTTGTGATATAGTGTACATCGAACAAGACACATGTATGATAGTAAAGAGAGCGTAACCTAGTGCTGTGTCAGGACGTCGAGACCGTTCGTGTACTCCCTGTACTTACGCCTCACATTCCCTCTAACTAACTCTGCTTGCATCCAGATATATAGAGTTGTAGGGAGTGTATCGTGCCCGTTCCAATGCTGTATTGAACACGATAATGAATTAGCCATTAATAATATAATCATATGTAACTGCCTCGAAGAATATAGTGAACCGAAGTACTTACCGGTAAACCAGTAGCAAGGGGCCTCCCAACGGGCCATCGTTCCCAACACCAAACTTGGAGTAGGTAGGAGCAACCCCCAAGGTTCGCATACCCTGAGGTGCGACGACAGGCAACGCATAGCTGTCGATACGTCCATGACAGGACTGCACTGCCCCAGTTGTACGCCTCTATGTTATCCCACAGCTGGCGTAGTATGTCAAGGAAGATCCAGCTGATAGTATTGCCCGAGGCGTCTGGAAAGAGGAAAGCACCAAGGAAGTGCCAGAGCCACACTCTAGCGAACTTGTCGATCTGAGCCTCATCAACTTGTGGGTCTAAGTAATCAAAGCGCTCTGTGGTCCACGACGACGAAACACCGGAACTTTTCCTGAAATTCACCAAAGAAAGTGAGACTCGATGGCTGTAGAAAAGCAATGCAAGTATTAAATAGGCTTGAATTGCTCGTTTATTTTTCTTTGAAACATCGTCGTCCGGTGGAAGAAAGCCAGTGAACTGAGCCACCAGCTCCCTCTAGTGATCGTTGTCAACTATACCTGTCACTAAAAGTCCCTCCAACCAAAGGCCAAAGATAGTCTTCACGTCCTGCATGGTCAAGGTCATCTCGCCGCAAGTAGGTAGAACGTGTGGGTCTCAGACCTCCACCTGTTATAAGAAAAGAACGACTGTTAGTTACCTCAAATTTGTTATAAGAATGTTTACGTACAATGAAGGCACTCGCACCTGTCTACAGCTGCAGTAAGTAGTGCTGGGTCAAGGAGCGGAAGACCGTAGTTGACAACACGGACAAGCTCGAGAAAGCCGACACGCCGTATATACGGCGCGTAACGCTCGTCCCACTGGTGCGTCCTGGTGTGTGTGCGGGGCCTCAAAGGAGGCAAGGGCACCTCTGCATCGGCGTCACTCAAGATGTGTGCTCGGTGCTGCTCCTCGTACTCCCCCTCAAGAAGGGGTACAAAGAGTGCTGCGTGGGAGGGGCCATCCTGTTACAAATTGATAAACAAATGGTTAGAGTATTTAAATTAACAATATTCAAATTAACATTACGTAGCATTGCAAAATTTGAACTACTTGTTATGTAATAGGAACATAATATGAAAGCACATGTATATATTCAAAGTAACATTAACAGACATATTAAACAACTTCACTCGAAAAATAAGCAACTTCTATGTATGGATCTGCTGTCCACAAGTGTTTCTTATTAAATTATTACAATAGCTTGTCTGTATCAGCTAGAGTAGCTCATTATAATTTTAACCTAGGGATGAGTATCCCAGTATAAGATGAATTGATTGAGAACTATCATGTGTGTCATACTTAATCCTATACTCTATACTATTATGTCTAAAAATACAAGCTGTCTACTTTTTTCACACAATGCTATGATGAACTCATAGCAGTATGATATCGACAATGTTGTGCAAGAATTTGGAAGTTCTAGTGCCTTCAATATATGCTTGAGTAAAATGACCATTTGAATTAATATTTTCATGTAAGAAAACAAACATATAACAATTGAAATCATAAAAACTCAACCAACCAAATTTATCGTTATATATATATATGTATGTCTAGTGCACAAAAACACATAACTAGATTTATATTTCACGTGTCTTTTAATTAGACATTTGTTTTCGCTATAATTAATAATACATTGTAAGAAAATTAACAATTAAAGTATATAAATAATAATACAATGTAAGATAAATTAACGGCTAAAGTATATTTTAAAAGAATCTTTCAATCTAATGGCTAACGATTAATATAAAGGGGTAGTGAAGGTATGATGGTTTTGATTATGAAGAAATAGGCACCAAATTTCACCTCAGCGAGGGTTGAACTGCAGTGAGGGCGTCCGTGTCGCGCCGGCGTGCATGGCGTGGCAGGCGCGGCGGCAGCGACGCTGTGGGCGTGGCGGCGGCGGCGTTGCGGGCAGGAGGGCAGGCAGGAGGGAGGGCGGGCGGCTCGCCGACAGACGGGAGGGAGGGCAGCTCGCGGGCGTTATTTATCTGGTCCTGCCGCACCGTGGGCTACGGCGCGTCACTGCCACGCCAAGATCGGTGGCGCGGCGGACCCTGCCACGTCACCGGTCAGCGCCCCGGTCGTCACCACGTCACCCCTCTCGTCGCGCCACCATGCATGGAGGGCATGTCAATAGGCCAAAAGCGTTAGTTTTGAAAAAAAATTAAACAATGTTAGATTTAAAATTAATTTATAAAAAGTGTTAAAAAATTTTCGCCAGTGGCAAGTTTTAGCCACTGAGTTTCCTTCCTGTTGACTACAGAGCTACTGCTATGTCCCTGTAATAAGGTCCTGTTTAGTTGCAAAAAATTTTCACCTCAAAGTGTCATATCGAATCTTGCGGCACATGCATGGAGTACTAAATGTAGACGAAAAAAAACTAATTGCACAGTTAGGTGAGAAATCACGAGACGAAACTTTCGAACCTAATTAATCCATAATTAAACACTAATTACCAAATACAAACGAAAATGCTACAGTAGCCGAAACAAAAAAAAAATTCGCAACTAAACGCGCCCTAAAGTTGCGTGGGGGCGAAGGCAGTCCGTTCTCGGCGTGCGTGAACTCGCCGCGCGCTTGCCGGGAACCTAGCTAGCTACAGCGGAGGACCTCACATTCGCGTTCCTCGGACGTGGGCTCGGCAGCGAACGGAGTGGCTGTGTCGTCCTTCGTTCCTCGCCCGGACGCGGCACTGTTCCGGCTGGCTCTCAAGCCACATGCGCGCACCGCCACCGCCGGCCCCACGGCGCAGCACGCCGCGTCCCCTGCCGTTTCTTTTCGTCGCGGATGCGAAGTAAAACAAACCGCGCAGCCCAGCCAGCCAGCCAACCACAACAGAGGCACAGCCGGGGCAGGCACACCGGCACAGGCCACACAGCAGAGCAGCGCGAGCCGGCCTAGTAGGAGGAGAAAACCCCACACGCGCACGCACTGGGTGGGTAGCTGCTCGCGCTTCGCCGCTAGCTGCTGCCGGTGCCGCGCCTCACTGCTTTGCTTCTCCTCCCTCCCTCGCCACCTCCTCCTCGTGTCGAGCCACCCCGCGGCCGGCCGATACCGACCTAGAGCTCGGACGCGCCGAGGCGAGGCCACCGCCGCAAGCATTCGCCTGTGTGTGCTGTGTTCAGCTAGCAGTGCGGGCCGAGATGTTCGCGAGCAGGCCGGTGGTGCACCCGCTGGAGGTGGCGGCGCCCGCGGATCCGGTGCAGCCGGCGCCGGGCGTGCTGATGAAGGACCTGCCCGGGATGCCGGGGACGCCCGGCGGCCTCGGCCTCCGCGTCCTGCAGCTCCTCTTCGCAGCCATCTCGCTCGCCGCCATGTCCTCCACCGTCGACTTCGCCAGCGTCTCCGCCTTCAGGTACGCCAGCTCTCATCTTCATTCCCCGTCTCTCTTCCGTTCGACTTAGCTTCCTTCTCCAGTCGCCTGCCTAGGATTTCGGAATTGCATTGTGGTTTGGTGGTGTATACAAGCAGTGGAATGGTTCGATCTGTGATGCTCAGCTCAGCTTAGCTAGCTAAGCTTAGCGGGGGTATTCACACTCCAAGTTTCAGCTGGTTGGGTAGGTTGAGCCGTGAGCGGGGAACTTGCTGTTAAAGCTCCCAAGACTTCATGTCTTGGATTTTTGCTTGATTCGGCAATGGGGTGTGAAACCGAACTCCTTTTCTTGCACGACGCGTGGGCAGTTCTAACTGTGCCAGTCCCCTGAGCCACCAAAACGCATCTTTCTCCGGGTTTCTTTCACATCGGCAAGTATTTTCACTAGAGTCTGGTTTGTCTCAGTGAATTTGGGTCAAGTATCTGAATGCTAGTACCAACGTTTGCAAATCCTTTTGTTGCACCTAATTTCGTGTCATTTGCTTGGGTCCTGTGGTTGCTACCCTCTGCCTGATGGCATGTCTGGATTCCCTCCGCCCGGGCAAGGATGTGAGGCGTCTGATTTTGAGCGCCTGGGATCAAGGTCCTTGTCTGGCAGGCATTGATCCAAACGGATATGACCCTCTGTTTTTTTTTTTCCTTTCAAGAAACCGTGCTTCAGCGGGCACATATCCAAGAAAATAAGAGTAAGAAAGGCAAGCCTTATGTGGACTAAAGACAGTTTACTTGGAGTGTCCTCTGGAAAAAGTTGCACGCTAGCAACTGTCCACTGGACTCCAGGGCTAAAATGGATATTGTTTTGGTGAATAAACTTCTGGAGTTGAATTTATATTGGTACATAAGGAATGTGGACAAGCGGATCTATAGCTCTGTTCAATACTGTTTTAGTGCAAAAATATCATGCTGTGTATTTTTTCCTAAACATACGGAAAGGGTTTTTCACTAACAATTTTGTGATTTTGTCAGTATCCAGATCCATACCCTAGGATCTTTTGATAGTATGATCCTATCAAGTCAAAATAATACCTATTCTACCATGTATCCTAAATTTTATAGTATCTCGATCCTACATGAAGGTATCTAACATAAAATTTCATAGTATCCCAATACTACGATCCTATATAATAATTGACATAAATCACTTGATTTAGTTATGACAAAATACTATTTAAAGTTAAGGACCATTGAAGATAATGTCAAGAGTTTCACTTAAATATACAATAAGTATATTAAATTAATCAAAATCATTATTATAGAGTTAGCTCTTTACAACATATTACAAATCTTATATAAAATATATAATTTGTAAAATTTGATAGGATCCCAATACTATGATCCAATCTGATAGTGTCAAGCAAAAAAATGATGCTATGTAGGATCCCGATCCTAACAACCCTGTCCACTAAGTAACACCCATCCATTCTCTCAACCATTTTTCTAATCTGGTACCTGCTTAGGATTGAGATGTGACAAGCCTGTTTTGGGTCTAGATTGACACGGTTACAAATTGACTGTAACTGCTGAGTTGAATTACGATGAGCTGGGGCTGGACAGAAAAAAGGGGCTGTATTAATAAGTAGCCTTGTCATTACACATTCGTTATCTTAAAAAACATGGTATGAAACATTCTCCACTGTACATTTTTGGGTAAATGTTAAGCCATGGCATTATAACCATGGTATCACAGGGATCCCAATCATATCCTTTCTTTTTAGCGAGCAGCGCCACTATGTTTGTATAAGTCCCAAGCTATCCAAGCCAAATTTTGGCTACTCTTACTAATCTTAGCCACCATTTGGTTGGATGCTAAAATTTGGCCTGGCAGCCTACTTCTTTGGTCACCTTACTTCATTTTGGTGGCCAAAGTTAGCAAAATACAAGGCCACCAATTTGGTGGCCAAATTTGGCTTGTTGGTGCAAACTAAACACACCATAAACCCGCAGCCCCTTCTTTCTTTTTTGCCAGGATAAATAGCCTTTTTCATATGATAAGCATGGATTATCATGGCACTCCATTACCTGACAAAATGATTCCTTGTACAAATGTGGTATTTCATTATAAAACTATGCTCAATGGATACCCAACGTTTCGGGTGGACTATGTAGTTAATTTCTGAAGAATTATCATAAAAAGTTATCTTTCTAATCACTGCTCCAATGTGGAACATTGATAGTTACTACAAGTACAGCGTGGCTCCTGAATCCTAAGAGGAAGGCAAATTTTTGTTTGTCTGGAAATAAATACCTTCCTATCTTAGTTTAGCTAGTATTTCTTCTTGGGCATGTATGTATCTCCTGTTCACTACTTATTTGCTGATTATGGGCTGTAAATAACTAGAAATTGATTTTTTTGCATGGTGCAATTTTGTTATGTATTCATTTATTTTTTATTTTATTTTAATGTGATTGTGATTGTGATTTGTAATAGATGTGGTTGGTACTTTTGCTAACTCAGAAAACAGGGACAGTGTTGATCTCTTGGGTCAAAATGACAATTTTACTGTGTTATCCATTTTTGTGGTTGTCGCAGCAAATTCATGTCTTCGGTATGCTGCATTCTGGCATCCTCAACTTCAAGCCTTTCCAACCTCATTAATTTGGTTTAGTTTTGTGTATAACAAACTGATGATTTGCTCCTTTTGCCAGCTACCTCATTGCAACAACCATCTTGCAATGTGTGTGGAGCCTTACGGTAGCCATTGTGGACATATATGCACTACTTGTTAAGCGTTGTTTACGAAATCGTCGGGCTGTTGCTCTTTTTGCCATTGGAGATGGGGTACGTAAAACATTGTACTTGTTCTTCATGATGCTTATAAAAATCATTAAGTCAATCTTCCATAATATTTGTAACATTTACAGATAAGTTCTGTTGAACAATTTCTCAACTCTCCTCTGTCGTGAACTAACCACAACATACAAAAAGTACCATATAACTGGGATTAATCTGACACTCTTTTGACAATATAGTGATTTTCTGATGTGGAATATTAATTGTGTAGCGCAAAGAAACCCAAATAAGTTGTCAGATCATAAAGTCGAATGAAATTGCCTCTCATGAATCATAGATTTGCTTAGGGGAGCTAGGATCGCATCTATCTTCTGATTCAGTGTATTCTTGTTTGACGGCAGATCACATGGGCAGGGTCCTTCTCCGGAGCATGCATGGCGGCAGGAGTCACCGTCCTGATCGACACAGATCTGAACATGTGCTACGAGAACCATTGTGCTAATTTTCAGACTGCAGTAGCAATGGAGTTCATGTGCTGTTTTTCTCTCTTACCATCCTTTCTCCTGAACCTTTATTCGATCGCATCTAGTCGCGCCTAGCTGAAAAGAAACAGGAGGATAGAGCCTGATCTTGGAGCAGTTTGAGCATCCAATTGCGGTTTTAGTGACAACTGGATATAGTGGCACAGCTAATAGTATTAGAATTGGAAGGTGAAGTAAGTCTAGGACAGTGTCGACGTAATATCGTCGGCAGTCCTCCAAGAGGTATTCTATGAAGGTAGATTGATTGGCAGAGGTACGCGTAATCAAGAACAAGAAGGCAACAGAGATACAAGAGTTAGACAGGTTCGGGCCGTCTACACGACATAATACCCTATTCCTGTGGTCTGTTGGTTTGTACTCCCTCTGGTTCTCTAAAGCAAGTCGTTTTGGACATCGACACGGTCTTTAAGAAACAACTTTGACTGCAACTTTTTGCTATAAAATATCTATAAAATATAGTCAATATATACTTTTATGAAACTACATTTCGAGATGAATCTACTTACATCACTTTCATATTTTCAAACTCAACCTAAAAGAAGTTATTTGTAGTTAATGTTTAAAATGTTTGACTTAAGACAACCTCAAAACGACTTGCTTTATAGAACCGGAGGGAGTATTGGCTATCGTATAATATTACGTGTGTTTTGAGGGGTCCTCTACCCGCCTTATATAGCCGGGGGTAGGGTTACAAGTCGGTTAGATCTAGGAGATAACCGGTAAGTAATAACAGATTACAGGAATGACGGGATCGAGCATATTCTAACATATCTCGTAGCATCTTTAGGATATCGCCATTGATGTTTTAATGTACACGTCGAGCAGCACCGTGTATTGTAGGTCTTCGTCTTATGGGCTGGACCGCCCCTGGCAGCGCAGCCCATGTAGTCTGTTGTGGGTATCCGGGGTCGTACCCCCGCAACTAGTCCCTGAGCGTCTTGTATCCGCTGTGCAACGTCATCTTGAGCTTATCCGAGCAGGTGTAAACAAAGTCGAGCAGTCAGACTCATAGTCTGACCACCCTAATGAGTCGTCGAGCAGTTGAGGACCGTAATCGACCAGCTTAACTGCCCAGCCGAGCCTGGGCTTACCCAAGTAAGGCTTGCTAGAAGGATGTAAGGAGCTCAAGTCCAAAATCGAAATTTTCCTCGCTGTGAACCAAGTGTGCCCACTTAGAGTCCGGCCACGAGAAAGGGAGATAATCTTCTTCAACTTCAGAAGTCTTTCAATGAACAGATTAAAAAAACACACTCACCGCAAGGTGAAGTGTGCCCACTTAGTCCCCGAGCCTGACAGTAGGTGACGTGGTCACGTGATGCCAGGGTCCAGAAAGTAGAAGAAAAACATAAAACCAGTCGAATGGGCAACCAGTCCATGGGCTGAACCCTAAAATGAAAAGCGCACATTCACCGCAAGGTGAAGTGTGCCCACTTAGTCCCGAGCCTGACAATAGGTGACGTGGTCACATGGTGCCAGGGTCAAAAACAACAGTAACCAGAAAAAAATCCCCAGTATGGTGAGAAACCGAATCATAATAATGACGTAGTCCCCGAGCCACAAGTAGAAATCTCGAATAAATCAAGAAGTGCCGATTACTCAAATCATGGAGAAAAAACCGGAGTAATGACTATACAGTAAAAATTACTGAGCCTTAATGGTATTGCGGAGAGGTCGGTGAATATTCGATGTGCAGTACCGAGCTGCGTCGAAAAATGGGAGAATATGGGCCGTAGTTGCACGGAAGCCCAGATAACGGCCCAGCACGCCGCTTTAGGGAATTCGGAAGGACGCAAATCAGCATGGTGCAGTTTCCCAAAAACCCTTAGAATGCGAAAAGTCAGGAGGATGTCTTTATAACTGCGTCGCCGCACTCCGCGCTCCCACCTTTGCCACTCCGTCACTTCGTCTTGTTCCTCGCCCTCACACTCCCCCATTCGCATTCACACGCACTCCGCCGTTAAGGCTAAAAAGCTTGCGTAAAGGGACCGGTTTTGATCCGGATCTGAGGGATGGCACCGAAGAGGGGAGGTGGTAACGCGAATAAGGCGGCCACCGGGGCGAACCGCGATAAGGAATGGGTACCGTCACTCATGGGGAGACGGAACTCAACGAGATGGTGGAGGCGGGCGTTCTTCCTTATCGTGTCACCGCTGGATGGCGTCCGGCCAACGGTGAGCCCTATCCGATGCCACACACCGACGAACTCGTTGTATTCGAAGATTACTTCTGGCGTGGATTAGGGCTTCCGGTATATCTGTTCTTGCGGGATATGTTGGAGTATTGGGGAGTGAGCTTATGTAATCTTCATCCGAACACTATTTTGCACATTTTCTGTGTTTATCCACTTCTACAAGGTTTATCTTGGCATTCTTCCCCATTTCAATCTCTTCTGACATTTTTTGGCTGAAGAAGAAAGGAGGGGGCGGTTCCAAAGTTGTCAGCGGTGTGTATCTATAGCTCCGCGATGGGATGGCGAGTGAATACATTCTTGTGCCACTGAATACCTCGCTGAAGGGGTGGAATACCAGGTGGTTCTATATGAAGCAAAGTGATCCTGCCGTCCAATGCGATGTCGACCAGATTCCGGAGGATCAAAGGAGCTAGTCGGAGAAACCGACCAGTGCCGATATGGAACAGGTGAAGGAGCTCCTCGAGCTAATGAGGGGCATAAAGACGAGCAGAGTGGTGGTGGCGGTGAACTTCATACTGCGCCGCGTCCAGCCCTGCAAGGAGAGGGCTCACGTGGGCTTTGACTTCAAAGGAGATACCGACGGCACCCGGGAGAGGATGAAGAAACTAACAAAGGAGGCTGTGCTACACCGGGCCGTAGAACTATTCACTCCAAACATATCGTACACCGTGCTGGGGCAGCCGAAACCCTTCAACTGTTCGAACTCACGTCCTCAGGTAAAAATCTCGACTATTGTTCCTGGTGCTTTTTATCCCGTGCCGGCGCTGAGCAGTGGACTAATTCGCTTGTGGAAAGATCCATTGGCAGGAACGAGCGGCGTACTTCTCGGGTGTGTCGAGGAGCGATTGGCCAGAGGCAATGGACGCCAGGCCGACCACTCAGCCGGAGGAAGGTGCCGTTAGCACCTCGTCCGAATCCGGAGGCGAAGGTGCTGGTCAAAAGGAGAGTCCCGCCACTAGAATCGGAGAAAGTTCGAGGGAAAGGGCGGCGAGAGATGAGCTGGCCCGAAAAAAAGGCGGATGTAGCTCCTCGCAAGTTGGTCGACATCTCATTTGGTGGCGGTCGGACCGCTCGGACGTAGATTGCGGCGATATCCAAGTGGTCGGACGACGATGAGGCTCTAGTAGCTCCCCCTCCAAGCACTAAAGCGTCATCGCGCAACACGCGCGCGGAGGTGCAATCGAAGGAAGGGAAAGGAGTCCCCGAGCAGCAGGCGGAGAAGACGCCGACGGCGGGGGCCGCAAGACCTCCAGCCCAGGACAAGCGGGTTGACCCCAGAGCAGTGCCTGGGAGCTCAGGGAGGCAGCGCCGGTTCAGAACCGTTCATCGGGAAGCTGACGTGTAATTATCTTTGCCTTGATGTCGGTAGCTATCCGATTTTTATAGTTGCGGTGATCGATGAGCTAATCTGATGCAGAACGGGACGCGTGGAGGATCTGAATCCTTTAGGCCAGACTGGCAAGCAGCCGGGGGCTGGTCATAGCGCGGAGACATTGCGGACAGACTCCGTCCTAGAGTCCCTGGGTCGATAGAGTTGGAGGTGGAGAGCGGTCGACGACGACGACGGGCGATTCAACGGAGACGCCAGGAGCAACAGCGAGAGTCGCCGAGTCTTCGAAGGCGGAAGCGGGAGCTACCAGAGTTGTGTCAGAATCAGGGGCGTAGAGGTCGGCAGCGTCGGAGGAACAAGCGACGCACCCTAAGATGTCACAGGGCGTGGTTGGTCGCTCCGTGCGGCCACCGAGCCCCAAAGGGGCACCGCCGGCTTTGGAGGAAGAGGACGAGGTCGAGGAGATCGAGCGTGCGGGATCATGATCTCAGACCATTCGCATCTTCCGCAAACGAGGGGAGGAAGTTGTGGTCGTAGAAGAGGAATACACCACCAGGGAGGTGAAGAAGCTACGGTCCACCTTTTGCACAGCTATGAAGCAAATTGAGGTTAGTGTTACGTCATCGGTATTCGTCTTTGGCATTGGAGACTATGGTCTTTTGTAATCTTGTTGCTTTGCAGAGCATAGCGTGGACTGTCGAACAACGACAGCAGTTGATCAAAAGGATGGAGCCCCTCTCCGAGGAGAACGAGAAACTGAGGGAGACGATGAAACTGATGGAGAAGAATGTCTAGAGGGCCCAGCGTGAAAGGGATCTTACTAAATCAAACACCAAGGACCTGGAGTACCAAAAGGGGATCTTATTCGAGTAGTTGAAGACCTTCTCCGAGCAGCTGGAGCGCACCTCCGAGCAACTGAAAAGCATCTCCGAACAGAAGAAAGGTATTGCGGATCGGTGAATTTATTCTGCATTGCCGAACAGTCTTGATGTTGCTATCGACCACGCTTGTAGAGCAAGATGTGGAGCTCGACCGGTTGCGTCAAGTCGTCGGTCAACTCCAAGAGGAGAAGGAAAAAGCATCTGGGCGAGCGGAGAAACTGGCCGAGGA